ACCAAGACACAAGTTCCCCAAATTAAACCACATAAGCCCACAAACAGAATCAAGTGACCAAATCAAAAAAAGGCACAAAACAGAACTAAACTAAACTACACACATGAACACAAAATGGCAGACTGGCCACCAAAGCCAGCAGCCCCGATCAGGTGCTGGCAATCTTCTTACATAGGGGGCGGTGGCTGCAGGTGAGGTGGGTGTAGACTTACCCCCACCAATCACAAACGAGGGCTCCCACAGCAGAAATCAAGGTGTGTCAGCAGGCTAATTTATAACATACAAAACAAATTACAATCTAATCTATCTGGGGCCGTAACAGTATTAATTCTGGTTATGTTTACTGACCTCAAACTGATTTTATGTGGTACACGGCGCTCACAAATCTGTCAACATATTTTAGTACGACTTTGGTAAACTACGAAGCCGCAACACTTGATGGATTGTCGGAGCGTTACGGCGACTGTAGTCAGGAGCCTCGAGGAGTAAAGCCCAAATTACTGTTGTCATGGTTCATGTTTGTAGTGGTTGTATTTGCTCAGTTTGGTGTTTTATTTAGACATTTGTCGTGTCTGCTTGTAGTTTTGAGTTTTACTTCTTGTCTTGATTGTTTGCCCCGCCCTAAAGTGTTTCACCTGTGTTCTCCTCTGCCCTTTGTTGGTCCATTGGTAAAATAGGTTGGAGTCTCATCTTGTCTCGTGTCATGGCGGTTTAGTTTCGAGTTTTGGATTTTTTGGATTTATGAATTTGTTATTAAATACTTTAAAAACAGTCCTGCGTTTTGGGTCCTCCCTCTGCTTCTACATGACAACTGTCAGCGACACATGGAGCGAGCTGTTTTTTTTTTTTTTCAGCGCTTATAGTTTATGCAAATGAGCCATGTGGTTTTAAAGGTTGTATAGAGGATTTTTTTTAAGGAAAGAGAAATCCAGCGACAGTCCTTTTTCAAATGTAGCGCATGCGTGACACCACCTTCCTCCTCCACAGCTCCCTGTAGAAATAATTTAGAGACCGACACCTCAGTTTTTAGTCCCTTCGTCTGCTTCAGTCGCGCCATCGCTGGAAAGAATCTCCAAGAATCACCTCAGTTTGTCTTCGCTCCTTTTCCCCTTCTCTTCTTCTTTCAGCGACCTCAAAAACCGACTTTGTTTTGCAGCGAACTGGTCGTGGATTCTCGTCCGCCATCGCAACAAACTTTGTGCGAACTGCGAGGAAGCTTCAGTTTGAAAAAGCCTCTAAGAACCGCTGCATAAACCACATAATCCCAGCGCGCCACGAGTCAATTACACTAGAAACATAGGGAGTTTGATAACAGCCAATAGAAAACGAGGCTGCCTCATTTTCTATTGGCTGATGTTTATTTGGTCTCACTACATCCACAGTTAATAGATTTTCATTCTTTTTTTTTTTTTGGTCATCATAATTACAAGGCTGCTGCGTCCCTGTAATGGTGTTTTAAACTTTCATTGACAATTTGAAACAAACAAAAAATCCTCCATACAACCTTTAAGTTTCGTCTCTGTAAAACGTAAACAAATGTGCGCAAAGCTGCATTAAACACATTATTACTCAGTGTATATTTGAGTCGTCCTTGTAGGAAATAAAAAACAAACAAACGAGCCACCCACATTCACATTCATAAAACACATTCACCAAGAAAGGGAGGAAACGCCGGGCGAATTACGCCACGATCTGCCGATGGATCGTAGACGCCTGGACTAAGGATCAGTCTCAAGTGTCGTCCGTTTGTTTCGTTTAATGTGACTTATTTATGAAAATCGACAAGAAAATTCAATGTTACTGATACTGTGCGTTATAATCCGAAAAATACGGCATACTAAATTGACTTTCAAGAAGTTGTTCCGCTTTCTCGAAGTTGTATTCAGAGTGATTCATGCATTTTTGAGTAATCTTTGTTCTCCTGCACGCTCTGACAATCCCCATTTTCACCAATCCCCGGTACACACCCACCACTGCTCCGTACATTTATTTTAATTTCATTTTTCTTAACGTTATACACACGGGATTTAGACGTGTAGACTGTTGTGATGGAAGGGATTGGCCAAAATCGGCTCTTAATTGTTCAACCGGGAAGTCAGAGGGGATTCGTTTCTTTTCTTACGTCGTTTTTAGATCGATATTAAAAAGGTTCGACACGGTAACGCGACGATTTGACAGGTGCTTTATGCCAGATGCCCTTCCTTTAACCATTTTAATCAGATCAAATAGATGGCAGTGACGATCAGTAGGCTGTATCCTGAAGAAAAAAAAAGGAGGATTTTTTAATTAAATGTCAAACTGAAAAACCTTCCCCTTTTTCAGGTGTTTATTCAAGCATCCATCGGCGCAGACAGTGCCGGAGATTTAATTAAAAGCAGATCAGAGCTGTAAAACGCTTCTGAATGAGATGAAAGTAACCAGACAAGGTGACACATCAAATGCAACAATTGCGAGTTCATGTGTTGATCATTTTCGGTAAAAGGAACATAGAAGCCTTGATGAAACCTCGCGAAAAAACTCTTTACCGTTGAAAAATTGTGATTAGATTTGAGCTGGAGGGAGGAAAAAGTCGTGACTAAAGACTCGACGTGACCCCGGCTCTCAGCGCTCGACCTTTGAACGCCGGT